CCATGGTTGGACCAGGAAGACCTCAAATCGTACTTTTCGGTTCTTCAATTGTTCAATATAGCTTCAGCGATAATGGTTGGGGATCAACACTCGCTAATATCTACTCTCGCACGGTTCGTTCATTCTCTCTCTCACTTTCATGTGAAATTCCCAATTTTGATGTGAAATTTCGACACTTGACTTATGCTTTGTGAGATAGTTCTAGAATCTGCCTCAAGGGTTTAGAGATTGATTGGTGATTCGTTTTGTTTCTGATTTGAGTGGATAAAACTACTGATTCTCTGTAATGCAAATTGTCATTTACTATTCGTAAGTGGGGAAAAATAGTTTCTTTGTTGTTTGTGTTTTGTAAAAAGATTCAAAGTCAACAACTTTAATGATTGAGTATAGATAATCAGATCCATGAATGTAACAATTTTGTTTTGTGTGTTTTTGATTTGATGCATTTTTCACAGGCTGACATTATCCTTCGTGGATATGCTGGTTGGAATTCCAGATTTGCCTTGAAGGTCCTTGACAAAGTTTTCCCAAAGGTACACTCTTTGGTTGTTCTGTTTACAGTAATTGTTGATGTAATTGAACAATGTCACTCTCTATGCTCTGTTTTTTGTTTTGATGTTTGGTTTTTGGTACTGTTTAGAATGCTGTAATACAACCTTCTTTGGTGATAGTCTATTTTGGTGGGAACGATTCGATGAATCCTCATCCATCAGGGCATGGCCCTCATGTTCCTTTAACTGAATTCATCGATAACATGAGGAAAATTGGGGAACATCTTTTGGTATTGATGCCTTTCTAAAGTTTATGACTTTTTTTTTTTCCTTACCCTTCTTCAGTATTGCTAAACTCATGGTATCTTTTGATTCACCTTCTTAATAACCAGAGCCTTTCGGACAAGACTCGTGTCATTTTTCTCACTCCGCCGCCTATGAATGAGAGACAAATCGAACGAGTTTTCGGGTACATGTCTTAGAGAACTGGTTTTATGTTCTTCAATTGGTCTTGTTTCTGGAAGTTTGATCAATATTTGTTGTGTGATCGTGACTCATGTCCTAGGGATGCAATGAGTGGCCGGAGTAATGAGTTGTGTCGTCCGTATGTAGAAGCGCTGTTAAACCTATGCAGAGAGATCAATGTGAAAGGTATCGATCTTTGGACCGCAATACAACAGGAGGATGATTGGTTGAACATTTGTTTCACGTGAGAGCTACTGAACCTTTTATGATACATTAATAGTAAAAATGATTCTCCATGAAACTAACTTGTAGGTTTGTTGTACTTCACAGAGATGGGATCCATTTCACAGCGAAGGCAAGCGAGATTGTCGTGAAGGAGATATTGAAAGCAGTGAGAGAAGCGGATTGGAAACCGAGTCTTTACTGGAAATCATTACCGGTTGAGTTTCCATTTGATTTTGATGTTCCAAACTCCATAAGCCTTTGTGATCTTAATTTAACTAGAAACAAGCAGTTGGAGTCACAACCTGGTACGGCCCGATTGTAAAACGACGACTCGGATTTAGAGATATCATGCTTTGTACATTTGCGTCTTGATGATGCACCAGTTTCACCCTTTATTTGCATCTGGATTTAATAGTCCACTAAATGTTTAGTTTTGTATTTGGACCTGTGTATCTTTTGTAACTTCATTGAGGGTACATTTCTTTGAATGCTTTTTTACGTTCTTTAAAATCTTGGTCAATTATGATTACATCCTCTCAAGTTTCATGGTGTTGGCGATAAGGGGTATGTATGTATGTATGTCCACATTCATCGAGAATATCTCTCGAAGTCCTAATTAGAATTTGGACATAAAAGTTAAACATATCACGAGTATTCAACATATTCAATATGTTATCATCTAAATAACTCAAACTTCCGTCTTCAAGTATCCAAAACTCTATGACTCAC